AACTCGCGATAATTATGACGTATGTGGTGGCACAGGGTTGGTATTCAAAAAGCGGCGGAAAGACGCGGTACGCGGCGAACGTTGATGCCGTCCATGAGCACGCGCCAACTTAAATAAAAACCTCGAAAACTGGTCTAACGACCGGTCGTCTCATCAAAAACCCAGCTAGCCTTGTCAAAGAGTGTACCAACGGCTACGACGGCATTCAATACGAAACGATAGCTGGCTACTCCTAAATTTAATCCTCCTACTCTCGTTACGAACGCACGAAATTCGAATCGTCGTTACCCTGACAAACGAATTCTTGGTAAATTGGACGACTTACCTACGTATATTCGGCCAAAACTTTCCCCGTGAAAGCTTAATAATAACGTTTTCGTGCAATAAGGAAAGTTTCGATTGTCAAAAACAATCTGATCGCTGAATCACGGTCTCGGTCGAACGCTGGAAAAGTTGGAATGTCTGTTTGATTTCGAATTTTCTTTTATATCTTCATTTCGTTTCGGGGGATCGAATACGAAATTCCCTGGTCATGTTGGGAAATCCTGCTGATGTAAAATAATAATTATCATAAGTGTAGTAGAAAGAAATTGTGAGCATGTGAAAGATGTTTGTTCGATGTATGAAAATGTATGTATATGGAATTCAAGTTATTTATACTTACATTTTTTCATTATGCTTCTTCATTTTGCACGTATGCAAATATAGTTTTCATCTTTTGAGATTGAAATATTTATCGGCATTTCGATTTTAACGAATTTCTATAGTAAAATTTAAGAATGTAAAAATTTAGCGAAGATTGGCTATGTTTCGAATCTTTACCTTTTTATATTTTCCAGAAATTGAATGGAACTTCTTTCTTATTTCGATTAAACTGTATTCCTTCTAATGGTGAATAAATCGAGATTGTAGTATTTAATTAGACAAACTTGTAAACCATAATATTCCAATATTCACGAAGTAATTTTAAATCTCTCTCTTTAATTACATTTTGTCCACTGTTTATTTTTAGTGTTTGTCGATTTTAATATAAATATTCAACTAAAATGCTGAAATAAACAAAAACACCGCAATGATAAATACGAGGAGATCTTTTAAAGCACGCGACTAGTAATTGGTACAAATATTTAGGTAAAGGTACGAGAGACAGATGTTAGTATAACATATAAATCTTTCAGGAATATACTTTTTCGGTAATTAATTACCTATAATTCATCTCCCATTACCCTCAATTTTCGTTAGTATTTTTCCAGCATTCCGTTGGACTTTTATTCCTCTGTAGATCCCATTTTAAAGCACTCTTATAAGAAATAATTTATTCCATATTAAACTGAAAATAAATTGCGCTGTTGAGAAATATGCAGCATTAAGCTAGTTTTTTGTTGTTTTAATTTTTACTTCCGCTATTACCTAAAAGAAATATCAATGATTAATGAAAAATTCAATTAAAATGTTATTTTAATTCTCAAAAACTTTTTATTTATATGAGCTTTTCTTTGACATTAAAGACATCTATATTATTATATGATTTTAATTTAATTAAAATAAACTGCCATTGAAAATCATAATAATTTAACAATAATTTGACATAATGACGAAGGTTAAGCACTTTTTAATTTGTTATTTTCATAATAGAAATATATTTTTATTTGCTCCTTTGTTATTAATACTATAAGACACATTGTTTAATATATTACATCGATACGTACACACATGATTGTTTCATATATGAAGTATCTTCCCGCGTCAACGACGCATTGTTTACTAATCGCAGTTAACCTCAAGTCGATGCCAGTTCGAACATATCGGTGACACGCGGTGAAATATTTTCACGCGGTAAAGTGAATTTCCAATGTCTTCTCAAGTCATGTTGTGAAGTATTGTTATCATTATTCGATGTTTTAATCGCTGCAATGGACGAAATATACATTCTAAATCTATAACGTGTAGGATAAGTTATTATTGTGTAATATTGTAAATGTAGGTTATCTTCGGCACATTGTAATATTTACGAATGACCTATCGCATAAATTTAAGAAACTGATAAATCATTACCGCAATCAGGATATCTAACTGCAAATTTTTATTCGGTTGTAACATACCATATGTGGAATGAAGTGACGATACAGCGTGCATAAACAAAATGATACAGTGTAGTGACGTAATATTGACTGTAGACTACAGATATCGATCGTCAGTTATAATACCTGAATAAAATAGCATTGAACAGACAGTTTTCTGGTAGTATTCCCTATTTTCCTTCGATTCTGACGCGCCCTGTGCAAAATAAAGTGGTGACAGTATAAATCACATAATGATACTTCGTAGGTAAACAGTTTCGTTTATAGATTGTAGAATTCGTCTGTCAATTATGATATTTGGTTAGCATACCTTTGAGAACACAGATTTTTAATAGTATTCCCTATTTTTCTTCCATTCTGTGACGAATGTCTTTTATAATCGTATAATGATACTGAGACATAACCTAAAATCGATGATAGGTTCTAAACTTCGATTGTCGATTACGATATTTGTTTAATATAGCTTTGAAAAGGCGATTTTTTTAAATAGTTATCCCAATTATTCTTCAATCTTGATGTGCTATGTATGAAAGGAAAAAGTGTGTGTGCAAATCGTATAATAATACTTCGTAGATACACAGTTTCGTTTATAGATTGTAGATTTCATCTATCAATTATAATATTGGTTACCATACCTTTGAAAACAGTTTTTTAATAGTTTTTCCAATTTTTCTTCAATTTTGATATGCTATGTATGAAAGAAAGAGTCGTTGGTGCGAATTGTATAATAATATTGATTAATAATCTAAAATCGATAATAGGTTCCAGATTTTGTCTGTCGATTATATTTGGTTAGCTTACCTTGAAACACGCAGTTTTTTTAATAGTTTTCCAAATTTTCCTTCGATTTTAATGTGCTATGTATGAAAGAAAGAAGTGTGAGTGCAAATGGTATAATGATATTACGTGGGTACACAATTTTGTTCATATTTTGTAGATTTCGTCTGTCAATTATGATATTTGGTCAGTATACCTATGAAAGCGCAATTTTTTAATAATTTTTCGCACTTTTCTCCGATTTTGATGTGTTCTGTGAAAGAAAGATGTGTGATTGCAAATGATGTATTGATATTACGTAATAGTGTGAATCGATTATAGAGTTTTGATATTTATTGTTCATTACGATAGATGGCACTCAGTGCTTCGAAAAGACTTTGGTAGTTATCCCGCCAATTTTTCGTCCATCTTGACGTTTGATGTGTGAAATAAATTGGCGGGAGTGGAAATCGTATAATGATACGCGTAATAACACATTCGATTATAGATTCTAAATTTCGATTGTATATTACGATATTTGGTTAACATAGCTGTGAAAACGCAATTTTTTAATAGTTTTTCGCATTTTTCTTCGATTTTAATGTGCTATGTATGAAAGAAAGAAGTGTGGGTGCAAACGGTATAATGATATTACGCCGGTACACAATTTCGTTCATATTTCGTGGATTTCGTGTGTCAATTATGATATTTGATCAGTATACCTATGAAAACGCAATTTTTTAATAGTTTTCCGCATTTCTCCCCGATTTTGATGTGTTCTGTGAAAAAAAGATGTGTGAATGCAAATGGTGTAATGATATTACGTAATAGCGTAAATTCGATTATAGAGTTTTGATATTTATTGTTCATTACGATAGATGGCACTCAGTGCTTCGAAAAGACTTTGTTAGTTATCCCGCCAATTTTTCGTCCATCTTGACGTTTGATGTGTGAAATAAATTGGCGGGAGTGGAAATCGTATAATGATACGCGTAATAACACATTCGATTATAGATTCTAAATTTCGATTGTATATTACGATATTTGGTTAACATAGCTGTGAAAACGCAATTTTTTAATAGTTTTTCGCATTTTTCTTCGATTTTAATGTGCTATGTATGAAAGAAAGAAGTGTGGGTGCAAACGGTATAATGATATTACGCCGGTACACAATTTCGTTCATATTTCGTGGATTTCGTGTGTCAATTATGATATTTGGTCAGTATACCTATGAAAACGCAATTTTTTAATAGTTTTCCGCATTTCTCCCCGATTTTGATGTGTTCTGTGAAAAAAAGATGTGTGAATGCAAATGGTGTAATGATATTACGTAATAGCGTAAATTCAATTATAGAGTTTTGATATTTATTGTTCATTACGATAGATGGCACCCAGTGCTTCGAAAAGACTTTGTTAGTTGTCCCGCCAATTTTTCGTCCATCTTGACGTTTGATGTGTGAAATAAATTGGTGGGAGTGGAAATCGTATAATGATACCGCGTAATAAGGCATTCGATTATAGATTCTAAATTTCGTTTGTAGATTACGATATTTGGTTAACATAGCTCTTTTTTTAAATAAGATTCGTAATTTTTCTTTCATTTTGACGTTTGATGTGTGAAATAAAGTGGCAGAAGTGCAGATAGCATTGTAATACTGCGTAGATACACAATTTTGTTTATAGATTGTAGATTTTGTCTGTTGATTGTGATATTTGGTTAGTATACCTTTGGGGACGCAGTTTTTTAATAATTTTTCCGTTTTCTTTGATTTTGATTAACCGTGTGCAAAATAAAGTAGCGATAGAACAAATCGTATAGTGATTCTGCGTTTTTACATATATATCCATTAGTATATTTGGTTAGCATAGGTTTGTAAAGGCAGTTTTTTAGTTGTTTTTTCGATTTTTCGACGATTTTGAAGGACCACGTTTAATAAAGAGATGTGAGTACAAGTCACATGTTACTGTGTAGTAATCTAAAATCCATTATAGATTTTATGTTTAGATTGTAAATAATTGTATGTGGTGTAGTAAGAGTGATACGAAGGAATACTGGTGAAAACTCAAAATCGTGTGGTCTCAAAAAGATTTATTTTATTCGAAGGTCTCTCACTGGTTACTCGCTGTTATCTCCTTACGCGTGGCGGCTTCCTCTTTTCGGCGGTGATCTTTGTTCTCAATCTTTCCATAACGATCGAAGGTTTTATCGTGCACAGTGTTATTGTGATTCCTTTGCCGGCGATCGATAAGACCCGTTTGATGGTGACCGCCAAGGCCCGTCCGTCGGCGATCGTCGAAATCCATTTGTCGGTGAGTTTCTTACAGAATAAAGAAGTATTATTTTATTGTATTTTATACTTTATTAGATACGTATGCTATGGACAAAATAGATATTTTCATATAATTATCTCAATTAATGTAGTAAAATGCTTTGTACTTTTACATGTGGCTATAATCATATAATTAATTTATCTAAGATTGCAAATTAGAATTCAGTTTTCTGTTATCTTGTCCTTTGTAAATGTATCGTTTTCTTTTCAATTCATTTGTTTTACTAAATTTTGAAATTTTCATTAGCGATATCTACATAATGCGTAGGAATTGTTTAGGTGGCAGCAAAACGACGATGGTAGATAATAAAAAGTATGATTTATTGCGAACTAATTTAAGGTTTATTCTAGACGCTATGACCTTTCACACTGACTATCTCTCAACGAACTCTTCCCAAAAAATGCCATCCTCAGAACTCCTCTCAAAGAACTACTCAAAGAACTGTTCGTCTCACGCCCATGCACCCTTATTTAACCACTTGAGTCCTGAGGCTTTCGAAGGAACACGGTCGAAAAACCCTGAACAGCGCGATAACGCTTGCCTTAATCGAGTGCGATGTAGTCCAAACGGCGCGATAGCGCTTGTTTAATTTTATGTCGCAAAATCCCAATCGTCGCAATAGCGCTTGTTGGCACTATGCGACGTACATGCATCGGCAAAGTTGAGCGCGATCGCGCTGCTTGGGACACAAATGGTTAAACCTTGCACTCAATCGCGCTTTTCTCACGCACTCCTCATAGCCTTGTCCCCAGTGGATCACGTAGTCCAAACACTCGGATGCATTCCTAGACTTCCACTCTTCACTTGCAACCGATACTTCCAGAAACATTCCGCCCAAACGTCCCCATGCGCTTTACAGTCATACCTGGACAAAAGAGCACTGTCACAGACGGTGATCTTATTCCTACATATATAACCTCAAAATTTGTCTGTTTTTCTTTAATTAAATTTCTTTAGCGCATTATAAAGATACTTTGCAGTATGTTATCTTAGATGAAAGGAAATTACAGCAGAGTCAAGATAAAGGAAAAAATAGAAAATTGATCTGGTAATAAGTTCCTTGCCTTACCTCGGCTGAAGTATATAAAAGGAAGTGGTCGGTACAGAGAGCAACCATGTCGTTATGAATGGCTTATAGTCGGTCCATAAGAGTCCATTGTAAGGTTAGACCAGGTCATTCGATAATCGATACAAACTCGCATATGGGTGATATCGAATTCGGATATCCGGATTATCCGCGTGAATTCGTGGTCTAAGAATTAACGTTCGTCAAAGCTTTAAAGAAATACGAAGAGTGGGACGTCGCTTAGGTATATTCGAATCAGTGAATTTTATGTCAAAAGCCACTTCGTTAAAATTCCTCAGCCTGTAAAAGCCGGGAACATTTTTCATCGTTGTTCGATACGCGCACACTGCCGAATTCAATCTTCGTCTATGTTCGCTCGGGATTACCATAGAATTAGAGTTCGATAGACTTGGACAAAGTTGCACAAAAACAAGGGCAGCAATTTCCTCTTCCTCTTTCCTGAGAATGCCTGTGTTCTCGATATATAAAGGTTCCCGCGACGTTCGAGAACATCCACAAACAGAATTTCATTCCCTGTAGCTTCAGAAGCAATTTGTCGTATAAACACGGGACCGGAAACGAAGATGTACGGGATTGGTCGGCGTTGACCCTGCTTTCTGGCCAGACAAATGTAAATCGCGAGCAGGTTGCAACGAACCGCGAACCATTCGGCATTTTCTTAATGTTCTCGACGCAGCGTTGCATCTTCACCAGCTTTCCAGTATGCAGAATGCTAATTGTCCCTTTAACAAAGGCTCGACGCGAGCTCGGTGCCGCTTCTCTGCTTGTCCGTTCGAGGTTACCGCCCTGAGAATAGGTCTGCGCTTCTTAGTCGAGAGTCGTTACTCCTCACTTCCTCTCGTATCCTGCCTCCGCTGCTTTCCTATGAAATACTTTCTCGGCGAACGATTGTGCTAGTCATTAAAGTATCGGAGGCTAGTTTCCCGTAATATTTTTATTAGGCCATAGTCTGCTATACCTTTCCAAAAGAGATCCGCTGAACTTTTAGCAAGAATCGGAAGTGCTATCGCAAACCTGACGTTTCGCGTATCATCCTATTTTAAAGTTGATCGACCTATCGCAACGAGAGGCGAGAAATTTTTATGACTTTGAAAAATTGAAAGGTTTAATTATATTAACGGGCGTTGGAAAGTTTCATTAATTATAGGAATAAAAAGGAGGTTAGATTGAGCTATATTTTCGTTAACAGCGATGACTCGCAACTTTCCATGCTTGGCATATGAAGACGATAAAATCCTAGGACGATAAAAAGCACATACGGAATCGTGTAGTTAAGATTCTTAATTAAGTTGTTCCCTGCATTTTTTTAAACATATTTCGTCGGAAATGGAAGCTTACGCCGAGTAATTAATTTTATCGTCTCGTTCTATCTTTCCATTTGTGCTTCCCACGTATTCCAGAGTATTACAACTTTGTAATTTTACTTTGCTAAATTTGACTAAATTTGAAATAAATTGCGATAACCACTGCATATAGCCATTATAAATTATATCGAAAAATATACGAAAAGCGTGGTACGAGCAAGATTGCATAGCGATCCAAGAATGTCGGAGAATTAACACGCTCTCCTCGAATAAAAGTTCGATTAATCGTTGTTAAACTTCAAGTCGTCAGCAAATTTCGTGCCTGTCTTTCCAATTAATTACGATCGAAATTACTAACTATATCGCACGTGGAGTACACCGAATGCACCTCGAGTTTGGATCGTGGATATACGCCAGCGATATGAATCGGTGAAGCCGGCTTCCTTTGCGTCATCCTCGCAAAGCGTCAGTCATTGCGGTTTCGCTTATTTTTCTCTCGCATCCTTTCGAAAGAAGTCGACGAATTTACTGTCACGTAGCGTTCTGAAAAATGATCGCAGAGTGAACTGGTCGATCCTTCGACACGCGAGGTCCCGCGCGTTCTTCTGAACTTGGCGGCAAAGCCGATCTCCGGTGAAACTTTTAGCCATCTTGTACGAAAGGAGAAAGCCAAAGCGAAACTCGAATTCTGGACCTCGATCTTTGAACCGTGGAAACTGAGAAAGTCACGAAGAAGGTACGCGGGTGTCTAGGATCAGTGGAGGCATACAGTTGGCAGAAGACAGTGAGCTGACGCGTTATTTCGATAATCGATTGCACGCGCCATGTCGAATAATGGTTTACACGATCGGCTATCCATCTTATTCCAGTCTAGCATGTAAACGACTCGGTACAGCGAACGGAGCTCGTAAGCCGTCCGTTCAATTTCCATCGAACCTGAACACCGTCAGGAATAGAGTCGAGCTTGACAAACGTGTCAACGTGAACGGTGCAATCCAAGCCGACGATTTCCCTGGACGTATAATCGTGCGGAATCGGAAGATCGAATCCGCGACGATCGATCCGGACATGGAATTCAATCATCGGACACGTTACTTTATTGATCGAATAATTAAATGTCGAGCCATGGATTCGGGTCACCGGTGAGGAGCATCGCGTAATCGATATTACAAGTAAGGGGGATCAGGGCTAAATCGTTTATGATTACCGGGATATTTGCTACTATTAATCCACGTTGAGATACTCTGATAATACCATACTTCCTTTCATATTCCTAGCTATAAGACGATACAAAGTATTTCCTATTTGTGTTTCGTCTCATTTCGTCACAGCTTCGTAACAACGTTTGCTTAACACTAGATTTACGGAACCCGTGAATTTGACGGAAGGGTTGCTCCAAATATATATGGTAACAGATTTAGTTAACTTATAGTAAGACTGTTAATATAATATATAATTGTTTTTAAATTAAACTAATCGTTAAGAAAAAAAAGGGCACGTGGTTTTCTTTACCTGTCAATTTGACAAGTGTCCTTAGAAATAGGTATACAGATAGCGTCTGTAAACCTAGTGTTAAAAATTCAAAATTTATTGGCAATTTATTGGTCTAGAGAGTCGCAATTATCGTGTTCAATTTGAGAAGACAAAGAATTAAAAATGATTCAACGTCGATTCAAAAGTAATTTTCTATCTAGAATAATGAAATGTTATTTTATCATTCGATTTCTCTCTCTCTCTCTCTCCCTTTTTTATTCTCGAATGAAATACAGAAATGAAGTTCGCGTAATAGGGCATTAAATTCTATCGATATATACTTTAATTCTATATTCGTTTGAACAAGCTGACGAGAATGTGGGGTACGTTTTCTCCTGGTAGATACGCATTCCTCTTTTTAGCCGAATTGCTTGCCGACCGCGGAATCTCGTTTGCTTGTTTAAAAATGAGTCAGAAATACGGGAAGAACTAAAAGCACACAGGTGAAGTAAACGTGCTCTAAATTACTTATTTTAAATGAGAAACTTGTTAGGATTTTCACTTGGTGGTGAAAACGTTATGCCGGTTAAAAAACGCGGGACAACGTGTTTGCAGGGATTTTCTACAGGGTGTACGGGCCTCGATTAATTTAGAGTTTGTTATTTAATTTTTATGAATAATCGTGTTAGTCTTTTCGAACGGCTCGGTTCTGCAACGTACGGGAAATTATATAGGTTTACAGTTAGTAAAGTTTGAAAGTACGTAAAGGGTTGACAGTATATGCCGGTGGAAACTTAAAAAAGTTAAACTGCCGGGAAGGATAAAGCTCGCAAGGTATAGGAAAATAGCTTCTACGGAAGAGTTTTACGTGCAATCGTTGCAAAATATTAATAAAGTGGCCCGGTTATGCAAGTGTACTTTAACGATGCTTCCTTTGAAATTCTGATTCCCCTTTTAATATATATGTGCATCTTAAGTATGGCGTTATCGATTCGTTGGAAGTTGCTTCGAGTGTTCAACGCAATCATACCTCGATATCGCATTTTGGAAATTATTTCGCGTTATACGAGTACGTGTCTAATTCTGCCTGATCAGCGCGTTATTAAATGTTATAT